CTTGTGCTGCCTGTTTCTCCCACGCGAGGCCTCTGGGCTGGTGGAGACACTGGCAGCAATGCGCCCAGAGGAAATGGAGTAGCAATTTGGAATCCTGGGGTCTCTGAGAACAGTGCTCAAGCCCTTCAGTACTACTGTTGGCCTCTGCAGGAGACAGAAGTTTGCCATAAAGCACAGGTTCCAAGAGGGCAATAGATTTCAGATGGCATCCGGCCCCACCACTGGGAGCCCCAGTGCCATCAGTCAGTATGTATATAGCACTTGCTTGAGGAAAGGTGCCCTAGCTCCTCTCGGTCCCTGAGCTGAACTCTCATTTGAGATCCCTCTGTCACCACTTTAACCCTCCCTATACTCACGGCAAATGCATGTGGGGAGACAGAGCCTCCAAGATGTCATCAGAAGCAACAGTAGGGCCTTGAAGCCTCCCCACCAGCTGCTCTGTTCCTTGGCGCTTCCTCTCCAGGGGAAGAGAATCGATGCCATAGGAACTTTCCCCAACGCAAAAACATCCCAGGAGCCAAGAGATGGAGCTGTTAATCATTTGACGTTTCATGGTCAGACTGTAATTGTGCTTTGTTTTCCATTTCGTTTTGTTTGTTAGTTTGTTTTTAATGACTTTTTTTTAATCTTTATTGTTGAAAGTATTACAGATGTCCCCTTTTTCCCCCCATTGATCCCCTCCACCCCTAATCTACCCCACCCCCAGGCCTTCCCCATACCAATGTCTGTGTCCATAGGTTATGCATATAAGCATATAAGTTCTTTGATTAATCTCTCCCCACCCCCACCTTCCCTCTAAGATCCCTCAGTGTGGTAGTTTTTAGTTACTCTACTATTTATCACCCACCTCTCGTCTTCTCCATCTCTCCCTCCCCATTAAGTTGGTCATCTAAGAAATAAATGTACTTACATTTCCTTTGTCTTAAATCTTCTTTTAGATTTCCCTTTATTCCACAATCTTGTCAAATCACTTTTTGTACCTTAACTTTTCACCCGGCCTAGAACAGAGTGATAGGACTTAATATACTAATGGCCACATCTAACTCTTATTTACTATTGTATGTTAGTAACAGCTCAGTAAGAGCAGAAAGACTGCCATGTAAATATTCTTTAAATGAATAAATGAATGAGTAGAATAATTAAGTCAATGAATGAATGAACTAACTATGGGATTTGGCATCATTTGTATATCTAGGGTTCAGTTTCCTTATAGAAAGAGAGTTGAACCAGGTAAGTTTTAAAAGCACTTTCTGCCCTAAAATTCTATGATTCTATACTACAATAAAAAGACTAAAACCCACATTTTTCTACATATATTTGCACTTACATTTCAGGAAGTTATTTTTTATTGTTTTCTTATTTATTTACTCCTAGTGAAATTTAAATTTATTTGACAAGAGCTATTTGAAGCCCAAGAATGTTTTCTATGCTTTCTTCTGCCTTCCTTCGGAGTGGGAAAATATTAGCTGGCAACAGACGTACAATGTTGAGGTTTGGACATGACAAAGGAATGACTTTCACAGCCCAAGTTGGCTCTTCCCAGACAGTTCTGTCTCTCCTTGCACAGAGAGGGGGTCTTTTTGAGGTTTTCCAAAAGCTGCAAAAGGCAGTTCACAGTATCTTTCAACTGAAAGCTGGAATCTCATATCTCAGCCAGGAAACTATAGTGATTTTCCCCCCTAAATGATGAGGCGATTAATGGGCGCTTCAATGATTTAAGTTAGAAACATCAAAATATGAAGCTTAAAATAAAAACTCCAGCTCCCTGCCCTCTTGCTATCCGGACTTTTTGGAGTGGTTAGAGAATAGCAAGTGTTTGAAGAGCCGAGCCACCTGTTTTGAAGGCTGGAGTCCGCAGTCAGAGCTTGAGCGCGGAGGTTTCTTTGCCACGTCTTCTGAGCAGCCTGAGCCGGCTAGAGCTGGCACCTCCGCTAGGGAGGCCTTTTCCAGAAGTCATTACCTAAATGAATCAAGTTCAAGAAGTAAATGAGACAAAACAGCCAGAAATCAGGATATATGTCAGTTTTACCAACAGAGACAAAAACAAAAAACAATATGCACCATGCAGAAAGCCTCTCGAAACGTGGATATTTTAGCAATTGACGAAAATTGTCAAAAGAAACAAATATGAAAGACTGGTTTTTATTTTTCCATGTGATAGATGTCTCCTCTCATATTTTTCTTTGTTTCTCTCTAAATTGGTTTTTCTATAGAACTATTTATTCATTGCTTGGAAACGACAAACTGTAGAATTTCAGTTTCCAAAGGCTTGACTTTAATGGTCATTTATTTGAAAAGCAACTTACCTCTAAGCACTTGTCAGTCTGTTAAAACATTTTAAATTAATGAGTCTCTCAAAGGCCCTAGGAAACCAAACTATAGGGACAGTAATTCTAATACCTGCCTTGAGCACAGTCACAACTATAAACCTACTTTGCCCACCCTTATTAGTGGTTGCCTAGTGCTGGGGAGGGTGTTTGGGAAGAAAAGAAGACTAACTGTTAATAGATAGATTTTCTTTTGAGAATGGTGAAAATATTCTATTGATTGTGATAATGGTTTTACAATTCTGAATATTTTAAAAGCCATTGGATTATATATTTTAAATTGGTAAGTCATGTGGTATGTGAATTATATCTCAGTAAAGCAGATCTTTAAAATGGAAATTTAAAATAAATATCGTGCTCTATATCTAGTCAACACATATCAGAAATAAAAGGTACATCCTCTTGTGCCCCCAAAATGTCTTTAAACAACAAAAATTGTGGGAAAATAAATAATTGAGTAGCATTCTTAATTTTTATTTATTTTTTAGGTAATTGCCTTAATGTATGCTTAGCTAAAATGTCTGTCATTGTTTAGAAATGTCTATACCTTTTACTGTGTCTCTTGTCACAAACTGCTTGAATAGCTACCCCCAGGACATTTCAAAGATTTTTAAAAATCTATGGACAATAAAAAAAGTCCTAGAGGTTTGGCATCCTCGAGTGTAAGTCAAACGCTACATCTCATTCTGCGTGATTGCTGCCGTCATTTTGAAGCAATAAGAATCGGATACGAACGCAGTGTCGTTCCAACGGCCCGTTGTGTTCCAAATGCCTGACAGCGCCACGGCACAGCGCCGACGTGTAAATTGCCATTTCAGTTGTCGTCGGCCTGAAGTACTAATCAGGGTAGAAATGCCATATTCTTTAAGAGATCGTTTTGGTCCTGGGTTCTGAATCTAGCAGAAATCTTTTGGTTGGTGGGAGAGAGGAGACTATTTTTCCTTTAGGATATTTGCAGGTCAGCATTTTAATACCATAGAATTAAGAGACCCTGGCATCACCACATGGCCAGATGGCTGCGTTGTTAGAAGCTGCAGAAGGAAGGAATTGGGCCCCTTTGAAGATGAAGCATGAGTGTAAATTTGGTCAGAGGAAACAGTCAAATGCCTAGATCTTAAAGGCAATATGACCTCATGCTTTTTGTTACGTTTCTAAGCAGGGTCTCCATAAGAATGATTTCCTTAATAAGTTTTAGCCGACTTCAGGAGACATGAAAAAAGCCCCTCATTCTGGGCTAAGGACCCCACTGTCACATAACCCCCTGCACAAGGGTTTGCCCTTGGTGGGAGCGCAATGCAGTGGCATTTCTCAAAGGTTGTGTTGGGCTATCTGAACAGTCCGAAATGCTGACTAGAGTGAATACATGAAAAAATAAAACTGTCCACATACAATATGGTTTCACCCTGACGATAATCCTCACTTCTTTTTCTGTGGTTTCAATTCAAAAAGTCAAACCTGAAATTTTATATGACACAATAATTATTTTTTTGTCTGAATTTGTACTGAAATAAAACTATTTATTAAATACGATGAACTCGCAGAAGTTGCTATGAATTACAATCTACTTAAAACTATTTTTTCCTGTTTTATTAGATTTTAATGTTAACCTCTTTCTCATAGTAGCCTTTTACCAAAATATACCTTATATCGCTCTCTAATAAAATTTTGTCATGAAATTTTAAACATGGCCACAGGGCTCTCTATTTATGAAAGCGACTTATGAGTAAAATAAATAATTGATATTGTTTGAGTAAATAATCCATAATACTAAGCAGAAAAAAACAGCATATTGCCTATGGACATTAAAATTTTTACTATATATAGATAACTTTGAAGACTTTTAGATGAACTAAAAGTCAAAATCACGAGGTAGCATCGTTTTCTCAGGGATACTTATTCCTACAGCACTTTATTTTAAAACCATAACAGTGACAGAAGAGAGGCATCTGAATGGAGAAGTTATGGGCAACCACAAAATTGGCTCTGTTCAGGATGCAAGAAAGGAGATGTCTGTTCTCTCGGGGATGCTTTTCCATCCGCTCCGGCCCAGCATGTCTGCAGATGGTCGAAACATGACGTGTTGAGATTTAAGTTATTGTTGCTCTGAGTTACTATTTAATATTGGAGCTCTTGTTTTTATGCTCTAACATATTCAGACATTTATTTAAGGTGGCTAAAAAGAGGCAAGCTATGAAATAAGATTAAATAAATTTAAATTAACTCAAAACCATGAAACAAAGAGAAATCCACTTGGCATACAGTATATTAAAAGTGAGAAGAGAGGAAGCAGAAAATGAGAAGAGGGAAATGGGGAGATGTGTTCATTGCAGTTATAAACAGAGCTTTGGAGCATTACAGTCTCTTGTCCTGTCTCATGAGATTCAATAACCCTTTACACACCTGGAGATTCGGTTGTGACTGTTACATTGACTCTAATACAAGGAGACTGCTTTGGTTGTCGGGTCACGAAAGGAGGGGGCATTTGGTGGGATCAGTGGGAATTATGAACAGGGCATAGAAGTCTGCATAGGAGCCCAAAGGTAAAATGTTGTCTATGTTCAGTCAACTGTATTCAATGTGTAGGACCCTCAGGTCTTTTGCCCCAACCGATCGCTGCTTTCTTCAGAAGGCGCTGCCCGGTTTCTCGCTTAGCCGCCCCTTTCTGTCTCCCAGGTCTGCTTTGTGAACCTGGACGTGAGCAGGGATGAGTGCAGCACCGAGCGCCTGCAGCAGGTAACCCTGGGCCTCGCTCCCCGCAGCTCCCCGCAGCTCCCCGCAGCTCCCCGCAGCTCCCCGCAGCTCCCCCAGCTCCCCGCAGCTCCCGCAGCTCCCGCAGCTCCCCCAGCGCGGCTTCATCTCTAAGCGAGGCTCATTTCCCGGGGACTCTGGAACTGGGCGGTGTCATCACAGCCCGTTTCCCTGACCCCTCCTGCACTTTCCGTCCAGTTTCCTGCCTTAGCTTTGTGAAACTTGCTTTCCCAAGAGACAGGGCTACTCTCCGAGCGATGCCTCCTCCTGCCGTCAGCCCCTCAGGGTGGCCTTGCCGCCCCCTTCTCCACCCTCAGGCACTCTGCCTGAGATGACTGTTCCAAGGTCTTTCCGAAACCTGCTTGATGCCAGCCGGCCCCTTCCTCTGGCTCTGCGTTGCTGCTTCCTGCTGCTTTTTCATCACCAAATGTTTGATCTCTGACCTTGCTTTCCAAGCCCTGCCCGTATCTGGGGCTCAAACGATTTGCACTCTGCAGCAACTAAATATTCCAAGGTTGTTAGGGCCCTGATGTGAATCCTTGACAGCACACAGAACCTCGCAGGCTCACTCCGTCCTTTGGACTAGAGCCTGTGGCACAGTAGGAAGCAAGATTGGTGTGGGTCTCATGCCCAGAGCAGAAGATGGTTTGACCTCACTATCTGGTGTAATGCTTTCGAGGTATGAAAGCACACCATTGGCAGCTTAGGTGTCACGGAGCTGTAGACCTGCAGTTGCTCAGGTGCTCCTGTAATGTTTTCCCGACAATGCTTCATCTGAAGCTTCCCACTGAGCTCCAGGGGTCATTCCTCTGTGTAGTTCTGGAAGGGTTTTCAAAATAAATTGTACATGTCATTTCACTTGATGGGTTTATGGTGCAGAGCCCATCAAAGAGAGATGCCAAAGCAAGTTGGCATCTTAAGAAGTGCGTGTTAGGAGATATATATGAGTGATTTGAGGCAGTTTTCTGCTATAGTTAAGAGCAGACTCTTGGCACTGACTTAGCTACATACACTTTTGTGAGATATTAATCTTCTTCTCTGGGCCTCAGGCTACTTCACTGTAAAAAATGTAATAGTGCTATTTCATCCAGAGAGGGGTATTGTGGAGATTAAATGTAGTAAAATATAACATGTGTAAAGACTTTAGCTTAGTGCATATTGCTCAATGCTAGTAATTATGTTATTATTATTATTGACTTTATTAGAACAGAAGATTATTAGTCAACAAGTCTCTTGCTCCAGGACTTAAGAGGAAAAAAAATTTCTAAACTACTAAGTATACCTGTGGCATGACAGTAATTATTAAATGCTTACTTTTGGAAATTTAGTACCAGCAATTTTTTTAAAGCTTTATGTTTATGCACTTTTCTACCAATCTAAGCCTTTATGGGTTAATTTCACACAATCTCTTCTAGCAATAATTTTAGTAGATTAACTAATCTATAGTATGAGTCGTTATATGAGTATATTATTTTTTCAGGTAAAATAGCTTTGAGGTAGTGCTTTGGAAGTGAAAAGAAATCATCTAAACTAATGAACATTCTCACTCTACAGAAATTGGTCAACGTTTCACCAGATCTCCCCAAACTTATCAGCTCCATGAATGTCCAAAAACCAAAAGAAAATGAAATTGTCCTCCTCAGTGGGTTAACATCTGGAAATCTGCAGGCAGATTTTAAAGTTTCTCAGGTAAGAAGTATAAGCTCTTGATAAGTTGCTCATTCACTGGTGATGTTAGCCATGGTTGGCTCTTGGCAAATATCAGTCTGAACCCCAAATAGATGCCTCACATCAACCCTTACAGCATAAAAATAAAAAAAGGCTCTGTATTCAAGAATAGCTCATTTGTATTTCTCCTAAATATTGCCACTTAGAGTTTGACAGACCTCCCTTTACATCTACTCCTGCCATCTGTTATTTTCTCAGGTTCATGGTGCTGCATGGCACTTAAACTAGAGCAGACGCACTAGGCATTGATTGGGTAGCTTGGTTTTCTACAAATCTAATGGTAATAAAAAACAGAATTGTCTCCTGTTTCAAGAACAATACCAAAATTCTAATTCATAGTATGCGGTCCCAGAATCCCACGGTGTCTTCTTTCTGGGTGTTATTTAGCTCTTACAATGCACCACACAGCGAAGTAATAAATACAGGACAGCCACCCCCAGGATGCAAAGGGAGTTTCCTGGTCCGGGGAATGAAAGTCCCAGGAGAAAAAAATGTTACTAAAAATAAGGTAAGAATTAAATGGCTGTTGTTCTCATTCAACACACCAGTGTCCATTATTATTAGATAAATCATCGTTGTACTCTTTATTCAAAGAAAAACAAAAACATATAAAATTATTAATGAACTTAGAGAAAAATACATAAAAGATTTTAAAGGCACCTGTATGAAAGATTGCTGATTTTGTCAAGTAAGAGATGTTAATCGTGACGGCTACAGGATAAGATGATTAGCATTTGTTTTCCTTCGAATTGTCCTTGCTTGGGTTTTAGTTTTCCGGAAAATTTTTAACTACTTTATTCTTCAGTCTTTCAAACTATCAAAAACTTTAGAGGCCCCCCCACTATTTCTTGCTCTACTCCTGATGCTTCGTAAAAACGTGCACACAGCCTGTTACAGTTTGTTAGTCAAGACTAGGGCAGAATTCTAGGAGTCAGTCTAATAATGCATTTCCTTAGTGAGAAAATTAATCGTCTGAAAATTAATCAGCTGAAAAGAGAACACAAAATACCCTCTCTCTGAATTAGGCAAAATCATTGTGACCAAAAGTAATTTACGAACTTGACTTTAAGGAGTATTTTTGGACCAGGCCTGTTAGTTAAGATTTCTAATTAAACATGACAGAAAATTAACTTAAGCACAAAGAGAATGCATTGTCTCATGTAACCAAAAACCCAGTGGGTAGATTAACTACAGGGACTTGAACAATGTCATCAGGCGCGGATTTTTTCTTGTGGCCTGTCTCCTGCCTTCTCTGTGTACCCCGTTACCAGACAAGCTCTTCCCACCAGGAGGCAGTACCCCTTTGGGTTCAAGTTGAGCAACAAAGAGCAAATGTCCCTTCCAGATGCCTCCCAGGAAAATCTCATCGTGTCCTATTGGCTCTCGTGTGTAAGGTGCCCGTTTCTGAACTAATCACTGTGGCCTGAGGAATGAGGTGTTGAGATTGGCCAGGCCTCGGTCGCACCATCGCCTCCGCAGTTGGAGTAAATTAACTTCGTGAGAATTACTTAGGCTGTGAGTGGGCCAGAAAGTGGCATCCCACTGGGTATGAAACTAAAAGAAGGTTGACTGACGCTTGGTCACAAAAGCAGCACAGATGTTGATTGGGGAAAGGGAGAGTAGAATTGCCCAGGACTCCTTACACAGCACCATCAAAAACATGTTTAAAATCCTGCCTGCTTTTCCTGAGAGCTGTCAAAATTGCCTGTGAGCTCCAGCAGGGACACTTCAAACTTCTTTTTTCCAAGGTGTCACTTTGCCCACAGAAAGGCTAACTGGTCCTTTCAAGGTGACCCAAATATAAAGTGCAAGAGCCAGCAGTGCAAGCCGCGTTTGTGGGACTCCAATTCCTGTATCCTTTCCAGTTCTCCCCACGGCCTCCTGGTCCAGCCAACGAAGAGCCAGCGTCCGCAGAAGGCACGTGCCGCTGGGGAGGGATGGGGTTTCCCCTGCAGCTCCCCAAGCTCAGGCACGCTTGTCGAATGATGCCTTCGCCTCGCAGAAGGGACAGCCACGGAGTAGATCTTAACAATGGTGCCTAATGAGCATCTCAGCAAAAAAGGTTTCCTGTAGGAAAAGAACTGATTTTACTTATATTTTTCCACTTCGTATTTTACTTGACTGTTGGCTGTTATGATGATTATTTTTGTTAAGGTTTTTTAGAGTCTTATCCTAAGGCTCTCCTGAGGGTGGTCCAAGGAAGGAAAAGGTAACTGCTGTGCCCTCTTCTCATTTGTTGCTCCCTGGTATGTATGCAGCAGTGTTTTGTTGAAACACAGGCATGGATAGCTGTGTATGTGTGTACATATTTAATAATATCCACAAGATGTAAGGTCCAAGGGAATACCATACGGTAAGTAGGTAGCTTCATGAGAACGCGGTGTCCGACGTGTTTACCCCTGAATCTCGGCACCTAGGTGAGTGCTTAGCACTTAGTAGGTACATAATAAATCACTGTTGGACGGATCAACACATAAGTGAATGAAGGATGTTATGAATATTTCCTTTCATTTTTCCAATTATATAATTTAATTGTAAAACAGCAACATGAAAAAGCAATAGAGGCATTTGCTGAGGTTAAAAGACAAAGACATGAATAACCAAAGAGAAACTGCTCATAGGTAACAAGCTCTACATTAGCTTGGAAGTAATACTGTACTTTCCTTCCCAAAGGAGCACAGACAGTTCATCAATGGCTAACTGCTCTTGGTGTTCTTAGTACACCACCCAGATACCTTTTTAAAAAACAACAACAAATAAAAACCCCCAAGATTTTTATCTTCTTGAGCTTTCAAATTTTTTTTTGGAAATAAAATAAAAGACTATGCATTTAAATAGTCCTTGATGCTTCTCAAGGTGCTTTCATAATAGTTCATTAAATCACTATAGCTAGTCCCTGAGAATGGAGAAGGGCATTTTTTATCTTTATTTTATAGAATAGGAAACTAAAGTTAGGAGAAGGGAGGTAACTTGTTATGTGGCTACTGAAAATTTTAAGCTGACCCCCAGTATTGGTCTTTGGTGCCGTAATTTCCTGGGGCAAAGGGGCCGAGAGGCTGTTCCCTTCCTCACAGGGTCTGTGGGAGCACTAGCTACGCCCTTGGGAATGATTTAAATGTCCCCGGTTAACCCAGCTCAAGTGGCCTCTGCCAATATCTCCATCCTTACTCATGGATTAGCAGGTAAGCAACTTTTACTGGAACAGGGCGGCCAAACTGAGAATGTCTCTGGCCCAGCAGGTATTGGCAATGGTTGACTAAGCCGAGCCTCGGCATTGCCCCGCTACCACAGGACTGCTGGTCTACAGAAACACACGGACTGTGGCACCTACAACGTAATTTAGGCCTTTGGGAGATTTGCTTCAATTTGCAAAATGACCTCCCATCATTAATACAAAAAGTTTACTTTTCCTTTGGGCAAAGCCAATTATGGAGCACAGAGGACCACAAGTTGCCTTTTGTTTCAGTGGCCTTGCGGCCTGACTCGGCTCTGCCCCTCTCCCCCACTTTAGCGGCTTTAATAAAGTCTCCCTTACCCATTTAACTTGGCGCAGAGCGATTTTTGCTTTGACAGAAGGGAACGGAAACATGTGATACAACTCGTCTGCTTTCCCCTAAGTCAAATTTTCTCCTAGGTACCCCGTGTTCCCAAACATCACGTGAATTTGCTTTCAAGCAGTTCATCACCACAAGCCCAGCAGATGTTCCAAACATTGTCAAGGCCCCCCTCCTTCTAACAGAAGAAGCTGGTGGGAGAGGAAAGGTCAGAGCCCATGGTTTTCCCCTCGCTCTTCTAGTAAATGCCATTTTCTCTCCCCGCGTTCAGTGTCCCCGGCGGCCGGACGTGTGCCTGGTGCAGTGCGCGAGGGGGGACAGGCCCCCCAGCGCCAACTGCGTCATCTTTGAGATCAACAAGTTCCTGATCGGCCTGGAGCTGGTGCGGGAGCGGCAGGTGCGCCCGGACACGCGCGTCCTGACGGTGGAAGATGACACGAACTGCTCGCTGTCCTCCATCGAGGACGACTTCCTCACGGCGTCAGAGCACTGGGAGGAGGAGAGCGAGGAGGAGCGCAGGCACGGTGAGGCCCCGGGTCACGGGCGCGGGGACCGGGCACCCGGGAACGCCGGCAGGAGCTTTCGGAGGAGGTCCGGGCGCCTCGGTCCCGCTGCCGCACCGGCACCGCAGGGTCCTCGCCGGCTGCGCCCGGAGGGCGGGCAGGGAACACGGCGACGGTGCTGCAGGTGCCCTGAGGTGGCCCGGCCGTCCCCAGACACGCCGCAGGGCTGTGGAGGAAACCTGTGTGTTTTAAAGGGGAGTCCTCCTGCCTGACGGGAGACGGAGACCATCCTGGGAAGAAAGGGCACGTCCCCGAGGCTTCCGCCAAAGCCACCTGTTTGTGGAAGCCAAGTTGGACGGGCCCGAATCCTAACGAGCCTCTTGGAAGCTGAAAAACCTGGGGCCAGTTACCTATCTTTCCGGGCCCTTGTCTGTAACTTGGAAGGATAGTCGTTCCTGTAGCACTATTATGTTTGAAATGGATGATATGATACAATGATATGATATCTCCATTTCTAACCAAGAAATTACTGTGGAACAGCGAAGAGAAATGTCACTTTATACAGAATCTTAGGAATCCCTAAAGGACACTAAGGAGAAGTGCTCTGACCAATCAGTGTCCTGCTGGTTCCAGGGAGGGACTGGAGACAGGGTTAAAGGGAAGTGTGGAAAATGCAATCTTTTTAAATTTTAAAACCTTGGATGTCATAGACTTTCTCTAAATTATAATCTAATACTGAATAAAAGAGAATATTGAATTAAAAAAATAAATAAAATAAAATTGATGATATGATATGATATATGATATGATACGATGATATGATATTGTCATGGGCTGCTTAAGGATGGAGATGCATCCTGGGAAATGCATTGTCGGGCAAGTCCATCGTCGTGTGAACAGCGCAATGCACTTACACAAACTTCGATGTTATAGCCGACGACACACCTAGGCTGCACGGTGTAGCCGACTGCTCCCGGGCTGTAAGCCTGTGCAGCATGTTATTGCACAAAACAACACAAGATTCAATCAAGCACAAGAGCAGCGGTGCACCCAGGAGACTTGCTAAGCGCAGGAAGTGTGAGGCGGCTGCAGGTGCAACGGGGCACACTGTTCCGCAGCAAGCTTCTTTATGTAAGCGGAGGGAGTTGTGCCAGGACATTGCAATGGCCGCAAAGTCACTAGGCGATGAGAATCTCTTATTTCCATTATAATCTTATGGGGCCACTGTCGTGTGCGTGGTCCAACATTGGGCAGAATGTCCTTATGTGACATATGACTGTATTACACTATTACCAACGTGAGGACAGAAGGAAGTCTCCCGGGAAAGTGCTTGGTACTCATTAGCTCCTTTCCGTCGGCTCATTAATGGAGCCCAGTGAACACTGGACTCCTTTCCCCGCTCTTAGGCTTAGGAAGGGATACCCCAGATGTTGTTGCCACTGTCCCTGGGGGAAGCCCTGTGCAAACTTCAGAGCAAATTTTTATAACAAGCCCCACAATTGAAGTTGCTCTGAACATCCCTCCTCTTCTCTCTTTACTCACTGGGAAGTTACAAGATGGAGTTTTGGGGTTACTTTGCCCCTGAAGAATGGTGGCCAGCTCTCAGCTCCCCAAGCCTCGTCTCCCACTGTGATGCTTACATTTCTTTTCTGCATTGAAACCCATCAAGTTGGGCAGCATTCCATAGAATGCTGAGACACAGAAGCCTTTATATATTCATTTTTCTTGAAGAAACATTCAAATGCTATTGGGGGGGCAGGGAATACATGATGCTTTAAAGCATTTTTGGAAAATAATTGTTATTTTAGACTCACGAGGACCTGCTATTCAAAAATTAATCGTGGTCTTCATTTTCTCTTCACTAGGTTATGAGAATATAAATGTTCCAGCCAATGCTATGGAAAGTAAAAAGCCAAAGGAAGTTCCTCAGGAGGAATGGAATTACAATAAGGAAAAGTCGCTTTACAATTTGGAAGACAAATACATTAGCAAATATCACACGCCGTTGACTGAAACAGAAGGATCTCTGGCAAAAGTAGTGGAAGACACGGCTTTGCGGAGTCGAGATCCACCAGCTAAGCTATCGGAGCGGGAAGCTGAAGCTGCGGGGGATGAGCAGGCAGCCTCAGGTCATTATTATTCAGAAAAGGGTAAAGGTCCAGTGGAAGAACGGCAGGCACTGTGTATTCCAGGCAATGCTTATTCCTCCAGGGTGGTTCCGGAAGAGGGACCTTCTGCCTGTGGTGCTGTAGGGGAGCAGGGCCGCGGCTCAGACCCAGGAGAGCATGAAGGTGGAACAAACTCTCTTCCTCCCACGCAAGATGGAGAAGCCACCACTGGCGAGTATGCTACGAATTTAGCAGAATCCGTGCTGCAAGATGCCTTCATTAGATTGTCTCAGTCTCAGCCTACACTACCCCAGGAGTCTGCGGCCAGTGTCCCTGTAGGAAGCGCTCTGCTCCCCAGTGGCTGTTCCACGAAAGATACCATGGTCCCTCAGCCGTGGAATGAGCTCCCCAAAATCGTCATTGTTCAGAGTCCCGATGGTAGTAACGCTGCCCCTGAGCCAGACATGTCCTCATGGCCGGAGATGGAAGTCTCTTTTGAAACCTCAGGCATCCCCTCTGGAGAGAATGCCAGCAGACATCCCCAGAGTGCTCTAGAAGTAGCGTTAGCTTGTGCAGCCACTGTGATTGGAACTATTTCCAGTCCACAGGCCACAGAAAGACTGAAAATAGAGCAAGAATCCCTTCTTTCAAAGCGTCCACTGGGAGGCAGTGAGCCACTGCAGACTCAAGCGTCCCAAATACTCAAGGAGCCTTCCATCGGTGAATACTCTTTCCCATCTGCTTTGTGTGGCATGACTCAGGTGGCCAGTGCCGTGGCTGTCTGTGGCCTGGGTGAAACAGGAGAAGAGAAGCACCCTGAGGCCTCAAGTGGAGTCTTGTCTGCAGCTGTGTCTCCTGTAGCAATCTCCCCACTTTTTAATTTAGCAGCAGGGAGGGGCATGGAGCTGGGAAATGAAGCCATCGCAGAGGCATTGGTCAAAGAGGCCACTCTGGTTTTAACAAGGCCTAATACCTACAGCAGCCTTGGAGACCTCATGGAATCAGTGAACAGAAGAATTATGGAAACTGCTTCCAAGCCTCAGACGCTGTGCCCAGAAAATGTCCTTGGAAATGAGCTGGCACAGGCCCTGTCCAATGTCATCCTGAAGCACTGCACTGATGAAGTTCACCAACCAAGTAAAAGCATCGGCCCCAATGGCAGGCATTCATCTGAAACTCTGGACGCCTTCATGGAAAGTACAAGTCAACTGCTCTTTGATGTGATATGCTCCACGTGCAAGAAGATGAGCCATATTGTACAGCACGGTGGCTGTCCCACTATTCTTTCTAAGGAGACCACTGGATGGAGGGAGGCAGAACCAGGCAACCAGCCACCTGATCAGGCTGCCAGTCAAGCATGGACAAGAGCCACTGGATACTCCAGCAGCCATCCACTTATTAATCCACGTAGCACTAGTCTTGTTATCAATGACCTTGTAGATGACATGCTTCCAAAGCAAGGCAGCAATGACTCAGCAATGCCAGGTGTCTTCCAGAACCCCATACCCCAATCTGAATTGTCTTGTAGTCCCAGAGTGCCTGATTCTTCTACTGCTAAAATATTCCCCAAGGAAATATATCTGAAAGGAGCCATGGGAAAGGATATAAGAAACCCTCGTCAGACACAGGGTCACGATGAGAATGAATGCAGCACTTCTTCAGAGAGAGAAAGGACACTGGCAGCCACCAAGTACAGCATCGGTTCCCAGGATGCTGAGGACAGCTTCAGTCCTAACACCCAAGAGAAGTACAACTGCGCCTCCCTTCTAAACAGTGAAGTTCAAGTTCATCTGTCTTTGCTAGGGAATGACTTGCCGCTTCCTGCTCAGTCCATGCTGCAGGCAAAACACACAGAGGTGTACAGCATTGCGGACTTTGCTGAAGAATTAGCAGAGACCATTGTCTCCATGGCAACTGAGATCGCAGCGATTTGCCTTGATAACTCAAATGGAAAACAGCCCTGGTTTTGTGCGTGGAAAAGAGAGAATGAGTTTCTGCTCACCCCGAACCCATCCTGCCGATCCTTGAAGAGGAAGGAGAGTCAGGCCAGTGGGGCCACTGTGAGGAAGCACAAGCCACCCCGGCTCAGCGAGATCAAGAGGAAAGCGGATGAGCACCCGGAGCTTAAGGAGAAGCTGATGAACAGGGTCATGGACGAGTCAGTGAACCTTGAGGACACCCCAGATTCTGTCAGTATCTTTGCAAATGAAGTGGCAGCCAAGATCATGAACCTGACAGAGTTCTCCATGGTGGACGGAGTCTGGCAGGCCCAGAGCTTTCCCCGGAATCGGTTACCGAGCGGTGACAGGTGGAACCGGCCGAAGGCCTCCAGCTGTGAAAGCATCGCCGAGGAGGACTCCAGCGCCAGGGCCTACGCCAGCAGCCTGGGCTTAATGAGCACCCTGAGTCAGCCAGTGAGCAGGGCCAGCTCTGTGTCCAAGCAGTCGAGCTGCGAGAGCATCACCGATGAGTTTTCCAGGTTCATGGTGAACCAGATGGAAAATGAAGGGAGGGGATTTGAGTTGCTGCTGGATTACTATGCAGGCAAGAACGCCAGCAGCATTGTGAGCTCAGCTATGCAGCAGGCGTGCAGGAAAAACGGCCACCTCAGTGTAAGGCCAAGCTGCCCCTCCAAGCAGTCCAGCACAGAAAGCATCACCGAGGAGTTCTACAGGTACATGCTGCGGGACATGGAGAGAGAAAGCAGGGGCGACGCCTCCTCCAGGCGAGGCAGCCAGGATTGGGCCGCTGGCTTATTGTCACCTTCTCTGCGATCCCCGCTGTGTTACAGACAGTCATCTATGCCAGATAACCGACCCCTGGGCGCCAGGCTGACGGTGAATGTGCCATACAAGGCCAACTCTTTAGATGGCTTCTCTCAAAACAGCCAGCGAGACTTCCTGAGCGCACAGCCAGTGGGCAGCGCCTCCTCCACGGGGCTCTGCAAGTCCGATTCCTGCTTGTATCGCAGAGGTGGCACCGACCACATCACGGCCATGTTAATTCACGAGACTTGGGCAAACTCAATCGAGGCTCTCATGCGGAAAAACAAAATTATAGCGGATGATGCCCAGGCTGATGCTGAGCCCGTTTCTGGTGGCTGTCCGGGGCAAGTGGACAAGTGCGCAAGCAGATCAGCTTCAAGCAGAGGGCAGAGTGGGCCAGCTCTTCTTGTCCAGAAGTCTGTTGGTTACCAGAGGAAAGACTCTGTCACCGAAAGCCAACATCCCCCAGTGCCCTCTCCAAGCAAAGCTGCTCCTCTTTGTTTAGATCCCGAAAGGGAAACTTCCCTGTGCCGTGATGGTGTCCCTATAAGCCACACCAGGCCATCCCTCTGTTCAAGGGAAGTGCCTTTAATTCAGATTGAAACAGATCAGAGAGAAGCGTGTGTGGACGAACCTGAACACATCCTTTCCCTAGAAGAAGCAGGGGTACATTTGAAAGAAGAAGAAGTCCCAGAAGTGGTGAAGGTTGGAGATGCTGAGAGGAGTGCCTGTCAAAACCGTGGGTGAGTGAATGATCTGTGAGGCTCGCTAAGAGTGCCTGGGACTGGACTTGCATCTATTAGTGTTTATTCTAAATCTTAGGGACTTTATTGATGCAAGAACTGAATGTCTGAGGCAATAAATCACCTTTATGGGTTAAGATGCACTTACAGGAATAGAAAGATGGAAGTAATTTTTTAAATTTCTGAAACAAATTGGATTCATTTACATAATAGAAGACCTAGGGTATCAATCTACCCATTAAAATTAATCACCCATAGTATTAAAATTCATCTGTGGCAATTTTCAAGCAAAAAAAAAGTATGTCAACTAATCTAAAATTTTCATTTAAATAAACTTTAAAATTGGAAAATGACATTAAATATTTTGATATCATTTTTCTCTAGGGCCCCTCCTTTCAAGTTTTTCTTTTTTGCCTTGTTCTGACGGTCTTTGCAAGGACACCATGTCCTCCAACTGCTGGCCCTTTAGGTGCATGGTAGAGTCATGGCAGCTTTAAGGGCGAAACAACAGTAGAGTATTGTTATTTCAGTGTCTCTTTCAGAAAATTGTAGTGTAGGTGACAATGCATTTTGAATTTGAGGCAAAGTAATGATTTCTCTCAGGCTGCTTAACAGGGTCCCTTCCTTTTACAACTCCCATTTTCCATAGAAAATTCGTAAGATTCTTGAATAAGAGACGATTGTATCATTTTTAATTACTTTGATCTATAGATAAAGTTAAACAAAATAGAAGAAAACAAAAACAAAAATTAAGTTATATCTTACGGAGAACATAGAGTGAGAAATAGCCTGCATAGCTTTTCAGAGACATGTGCTTATTTTACAAAGAACCTGTGATAGAGAAATAGACAAATTCACTATTATAGTTGGAAATTTCACATTCTTCTCTCAGTAACTGATAGAATAATAGAAAGTCAGTAAGGATATACAAAACTTGAGCAACATCAATGTTTCTTCCTCTCTCTCTCTCCCTTTCCTCTTTCCTTCTCTTTCCCTCTCTGAGGTCAATAAAAAAAATATAATACGTCACAAGGGAAATTAGAATAAATTTTGAATTGAATGAAAATTACAACACAACACATCAAAATGTGTGGAATGCAGCTAATGTAGTACTTGGGGGAAAATTAATACCTTTGAATGTTTTTTAAAAAAACGTTATCTAACATAAATGATCTAAATTTTCACCTTAAGCTAAAAAATGGATGATCAAATTGAACCCAAAGTAATATAAGAAAAAAATAATAAAAATAAGAGCAGAAATTGATGATGACAACAATCAAGTAGAGAATATTGATGAAAACAAAAGCTCTTTCAGCCCAGAGGTTGGCAAATAAGTACATGTGTATGCATGTAAAGCTAAATTAAAATGTTTAAGATTGTAATGTTAAATTGTCATAATTTTCCCCTTCAATGAACTTTTTCCAGTAATAAACAACTGTAGGGCTTATTGGAAAGAACGCTTTTATTGTAGTTATATATTTATTTTTATAGTTACCGTCTACCTATACCAAGTGATTCCTTTTTTCCACTTATAGCAATTACTCAACATTTCTTTTTAAAATAAGCATATATATGTTATATAAAGTAAATTAATTTAAATAAATTTTATTCTTATAATACAGAGGGAATGCAGATATGGCAAAAATCAGGACAGTGGTTTGCAAACAAATGAAGTTAGGGGAACACTGAGCTAGATGATCACTAACTCAGAAATTCTACAATCTAATTCGCTATCACATCAAGTTCAATCTTCTAAAGCTCTGTGTGTGAAGTAGAAAAAAGCCAAATGTGTACATCTGCATAACACATCGGTGCATTATTCATAAATAAACAAGCAGAGCTATAAATTCTCTCAGAAGAAAATGAGAACTCGTGTTTGTGATGACCATTAGTCATTCCGAATTCCCCAGTTATGTGACATGGAATATGAGGTTTACTGTAAAATAGAGCATGAACTTGAGGTAAAAGAAAATACAATGACAGACTCATTTGTAACCTGAATATTCAATGTCAATCACTGAGATGTAACTTCTGCTTTAGTAAGAAATATCCTGGAATGAATTTTTCTAATAATATAAGGTCTTAATTTAGTAAAAAAAAAAAAAGAAAAGTAGTCTAGGAAATTACTTTTTAACGAAATAAACAAATAGTTTTGGAGCTGTCTTCTTTGTGCCCAGTACTTGGCTCATTTCCACTTTTTGTGGATATGTATATTGTTTCCATTTGTTATCAATGAACTTTTCTTTCATTTGAATATAACTAAATTCATTTAATGTCTCTTTGGCTGCATCAATTTTTCTCCTTCCTCCCTACTCAATTTGGAATAATATCAACATTTTTGAAAGTAAAATAAGCTTATTAAGAATCTCTTTTCACCAAATGTTAGCAGCACGGCATGCTAGAAACAGCCACACCACAATACCTGTCCAGAATGCTGTCAGGAAGGATCTTAGGAGTGAGGATCCCGGCACTCAGCTAAGTGCACTAATGATCTTCGTTTTCTAATTTATATGTTGCAAAACCCTAGTGAGATGGGTATTGTTAATTCTCTTAGAGAGGCTGAATAGGTGATAGGTGGTGGAAGGGTCAGGGTCAGGGTTAGGGTTATGGTTAGGGTTACGGTTAGGGAACCTACAGCAGTCAGACTGCAGGAACAGTACTCAAAGCACCCTGTCTCCAGCATTTGGTCAGAGGAAGCAACCGGGCAAAGACCAAGAGGCAGAAAACCCTGGCATGTGTGAGAAACAACAGATGGTTTCGTCTGCTTAGTAATGACTAGGGTGGAGGTAGGCTTGGGAAGGCCATGAAGGACTGAGTTTAGCTTCAGGGAGTTCTTGTAGGTTTTTGATGAGGACCGTCAAAGATATGTCTTGGGAACATCAATTCAGTAGCAGTGTGTAGAAGGTTATGAAAGAGGAGGAACAGTTGGGGTTCTCCAGTTTGGAGGCTACACTCCAGCCAAAGAGTAATGGTGGGTGCAATGCCCACCAGTCTCAAAATTCGAAATCTAATGTTGGGTACCAACTTGTTGGACCCCACTGGGCTTTGCATCCTAATCTACAGGAAACCTATAACGTTTCTTCCAAATCTAAAATTGTAGCAATTTAAAAGGACCTAAATTAAGATGATGTAATGAGCATAGAGACAGAGATAAGTATGTGAGAGATACTTTGGAGATGGAACCGAAAAAATACAGCAACTGATTAAATGCAAAGGGCTGAATGCAGAAGAAGGCAAGATTTTAGGCCCACGCACTCAGAAAGATCAACGGAAATAAGAAACACAGGAAGATGACGCGGGGCCCTTAGAGACACTGATTCTGAGATGTTAGTGAGACAGATTGGATATAGTCAGAAGACCCGCTGAATAAGCCCCGGAATCAGGAAGAGAGGCCCTGGCTGGAGTTCAGACTTGGAAGCTGTTTTCACAGGCAGAAGAGACAAGGTTACTTAGGGACAAACTGGAAAGGAGGGCTGTGAACAATCAGGCCTGGCTGCAGTGACACTTAATGGAGAAACAGAGAACCAAGTTCCAAGCAAAAAGCATCCAGACAGGTGGGGCTCCCAGAGAGACCAGGGAGGTAAGGCTTCAAGGAGTCAAGTCTGTCAGATCAAGGGTTAAATGCTCTGGAGAGCTTACTCAATCTAGAAAGCACTAATCCAGAAAAGTGGTGCTGACATAAATTACAAGTTTTAAGGGGAGGGGATGGTGTAAGAATGTGTCTGCAAGTGCAAAACGTGTTTAGAGGTTTCTCGGCAAAATGACTTTGGAAACCACCAGACCTGGGGTGGGTATTTTTCCCCAGCATGGTCCACCTACCACTTGCATTAGAATCACCGGGGGTGGTTTTGAAAAGGCAGGTTTCTGGGCCTCTCTGTAGAAACACTGAATCATAATCTCTGGGGAGGATGCTCTGGGTATCTCCATTTCAAACACCACTGTCCTTCAGTAATTCTTATGTATGCAGACCAGGGTACTTCTAGGTGTTTTTGAAATGAATGGAGGGAGTTCAAAGAAAGAGATCACGTGAAGAGATGGGGAAGCTGATGGAGAGTTATCCTGAAAAGGCAAAATGGGACTTAGGGCACCAACAGAAGTATTGGCCTAAAAGAAAGACTACACCTGTGTCCAAGGACTTCCTGCCCAGGGTGGCAGAGATCCATGCTCAGCAGCAGGTCCCATGAAAAGTTCAGTCTTGTGCTCCCACCCTTAGTAATAACATCTTACCATCTACAGTGACAACCTTGATGGCAAGGATGTACCAGAGGCTGAAGTCTCCACAGAAGGCAGAGCCTCCGATGAGGTCCCCCACCCTCTCTGCAGCAGTGGGGAGAGCACAGACAGCTGGTCCCAGCTGGTCAACGAGGAGGACAACCCAGACGACACAAGTAGCTTTCTGCAGTTCAGTGAGCGATCCATGAGGTACCTGCTCTTCACTTGACTTTCCGGGGAAACAGGTCTCAACACATATTTCAGAAATGCATTTTAAATGGTTCTCTGCAAAGGGTCCCTAATAGAGAGTGTAAAAAAGAAAGCTCCCACTAGGTCAAGTCGCCTGCCTGTCATGATTTGTGCTGAGAGGTATCTTAATGTCCAATTATGGCTTCAATTGCCTCGGCCAAGATTAAGAGTCAGCTGTGTTCCCTTTTCTGCAAGCCCCAGCTAAAGCATTTGCTGATGACAACTGTAAATTTCTTAATAACAGCTGCTATTGCACCTGGTGTGTTTGATACTTTCTTTCTGGTTCATTTGTATTTCAGATGCAACCCGGGCTGGGTTTACATGAGGCAAGTGTTTCCACACTGTGTTGTGTTGTTTGGCCTGACTGTTCCTCGTTTTCTCTACCCTGCCCTCTATTATTGCTCTGGAAAAACCAGAGAGGATCTAATGAGAGGTCATATCTGATCGGACCCCAGCCCAGTCAGCAGATACAAATTAGAAACTATCCCTCTATGAGGTAAAACATGAAAAGAACCTCCACATTTCAGCCTGAAATCTTGATTGATGCTGGAGACTTTCCAGAGAGTCCAGTTGAAAGGTGGATTCAGATACATCTACCTATCTGCCTCCTTGAAAGTTTTATTTCTGTTCGGTCTGTTCAGTCTGTTCGGTCTTAGGGAAATTTCGCAATGTTGAACAACTTGTCTAAAATTCGAACAGCAAGGTGGATACAAAAGGCAAAGAGAATTTGAATCACTGGACTTAGGAGAAGTTAATAGGCTTAATTATTTTCAGTGCCAGGTCTGAGTCATCAGATTTTAATCAGTGAATGTATTCAGCACCCCACTCGAAACCCAAGACAGGAATTTGAAGTGGAGGGAGTCTAGTTGGTTACTCATGGTGCTCCTGAGGGAAGATTGTCCCCTTATGACACACCAACTCTCACCCTTTGGAAACCTTACTTGGAAGAGATGCTATTGGAAAATAGAGAAGGTGTGAGGAAACTTAGTGGGTTTGGTGAAATTGGATGCATTTCCTTTTGCAAGTACAGACAGAACCTAAAAATTAGCTCACTCTACAGTTTCAGTAAATAAGTTTCAGGCTAGTAACTTGGCCATATGTTGACTGTGCAACCTATGACGGTGAGGCAATACGTGATCCCCCTTCTCCACGATGCTTAAGGTAGCAGATGTTTCTGCTTCTCAAAGACTTTAAGATAAAGGAGCTGTAAAACTTGGCATTCCTCAACTTTGTACTTGTGAATTCTGTAGTTCCATTAAAAAAAAACAAAAAACCACAAACAAACAATGAGCCAGGTGCACATCCTGTGGAATGCCCCTCAGAAAACTCCCCTGAATCGCAAAGGGAAAATGTGAGTCCGCTGGTTTCTATCAAAAGCAAGCAGATAAGCATTTCAATCTCTCTCTCAAGCAGCATTCACAGAAGTACCTTAGTCTCTGTGGGCCTTCTGCTAATAGACAAACATCTTCACTGCAACTAGAGTGAGGAAGAAAAAAGTCATGTTGATTGTCACCTACTAGGGGTGATCTACCTGGTACAACACCACTGCAGCAATTAGAAAACATTGATGGTGGTTGGCTTGAACCAAAAATGTCTTTTGTTGCGTGTTCCTCTAATTGGGTCAGAAATAAATATCAATTTAGGAGTCCTAGACACAAAGAAATATTCTTCTGGGGACTAAAAGAAGGACCCCTGAGGACAGTAGATGATCAGTGTCAGTGGTGTGGCCAGGTGTAAACTTGGCATTAATATGTAAACTTTTGCTTTATCAGCAATGGCAACAGTAGTGCCACTAGCAGTCTTGGCATTACGGACCTGGACATTTATCAGGAAAGCATGCCATCTTCTCCCATGATTAAGTAAGTAGCCACGGAGGTGCAGTGACTGAGACCACCACTCCAATTCCATCTGGCAATCCATTGTGATCATTCAGGTTGTGCCCAGCCACTGATTCCATGATGTCTGTGCTGCCGTGGTTCCCAGGCATGTGTGTCCCATGTCGCTGGAGCAAGGACTCAAGCCTAGAATAGCCCCAGCCTCCCATCACCTCCTTTCTGGGTTTCATATCTGCCCTCTATGATACAGTCATTTCCAGTAAAGCTCATCCATATAATTAGACGTTGATGTCATTTTACCTAATTGGACACAGAGAAGCAAAAATCCATTTAAATTGTGCCATGCCAACCAACGTGTGATGCCAGCCAAGTGGGATGGCTCCTCCTTTACTTGTAGACACCTGGGATTATCACTTCTAAATGTGCCGAACACCAAATGGTGCCATGATGGAGCTGTGTCATTCCCACACAGTAACTCTGCCCCCTACACCAGGAGGACCTTCCAAAAGAGCAAAGGGAAAAAGCACTAAGAGAAGCACAATATGTGTGACATAAAATATGGTACAAAAAGGGAGAACAACCTGAGGGCAGGACCACATCTAGAATCGTGATGCTTCTGGAAAATTAAATGAATTGATATCTATTTTTTGACCATGATGACTTAGCTTATTATTTGGATATATCTGAAGTTAACAACAAAAAAATATGAAAATAAAGTTATAGGACAAAATTTGCTCTCTGATCTGACCTATTTGCTTGGTTACTTTCTATAGCTAAAGCATTTCTGCTTTACTGTGTAACCAAGTATCCTGCCTCTGGGTTTGTTTTGTTTTGCTTTTTAAAAGGAGAACAAAGAAACAAAACAAATAAAAAACCTACTTTGGGCTCGATTTATCTTTTCCTTCAGGAAACATTTGTTTAGCTACTTCATCTTTCCCCCTGGTATGAGCCTTCAGCCCCACAGACTGTATGAATTCAGGGAGAGCCAAGACCACCACCACCCACAGCAGCATCATATAGCTCTGTAAGAGCAGAAACCGAACCCACCACCTGTCATTTCACCTAATGTCACTCGCATAGAGATCTAGCAGGAAATCTAGTCCCGTGGGGAACTGGCCATCCTTCTTCTAGGTGTTCATGTAAGAAAAACTAGGCTCTCTCAGCATTAGGAATAAAATGGAATTTATCAGCCAGATTTTAGCAGTAACATAAAATATAAGGGAGGATCTTCTCTCATAAAAAGACACCTTTTTAAGAGCCCCTGTACTTTAATTTTTAGACAGAACAAAATTACAGGACAACCAATGGCTTCCCAAAACGGTCACTTCCTTTTCATTGTTGGGCCATCTGCTCTTCTTTGGGAAGCCTTTGCTGAGCCTCCCACTGTATTCAGGGCTCCCTAAGAAGTACTCACTATACAAAAACGTCTCGAACAGTGACCACTTCTGTATCTCACGAAACACCCACCTCAGTCATGAATCTTAGTTCTAAGCCACCTCCGGCTTACTCCATTCTCCCAAAAAAAGAGAAAAAAAGTGTCAACTAATTGAGATAGTTGGTTGCACAATTTAACTCCTGTAGTTCATTGATTGTCTTTTCCCTTATTTCAGACCAGAGAACCATATCCATGTAGAAAAAATAGTTTCCTGGGCTAAAATGCAAATTTATGCTAGTATCAGAGTATAGGGAAAAAATCGTTGTGTCAAGATGGAAACAGTGATCCTTTAAACGGAGGTAAAATAGGGAAGAAGGCGCATGCCCAGGGGGACCTGGTTAGCATCCCCTCCTGGACGGGGGAGCCCCGGAGGCCGATGGAGGGTGCGTCTCTCAGGTCTCCCCGCAGGCAGCCCCTCAACGCCAGGCAGCTCCTCGGGCCGCCTGCTCTCAGGCGGTGCTTATTGAAGACCCCGCCGTCCTACCTCACAGCCACCCTGGCATGCTCTAGCCTGGCTTCAGCATGCGCTCCGAGGCCTTTCGCTCAGCCGCCCCACCGGCCACCCTCCCCGGCGGCTGCCCGGCCCTCGCGTTCCCGACCCTGTGCTGCTGTTTCCTCCACAGCGAACTGGCAGGAGGCGAGGAGGCCCTGGAGGAGCGGCGGGAGAGCAGAGCGGGTAAGCAGGTGCCCTTCCCGGGCCCCCGCGGCCCCCGGGCACGTGGTGAGGCCGCCTGTCTATGTGCAGGGCCCGCCTGTGCCGCTGGAGCAGCTGCGGGGACAGCCGGCCGCCCCGGGAGCCTGCTGGTCCTCAACTTCGACCTGGAGCCCGAGTGCCCGGACGCCGAGCTGCGGGCCACCCTGCAGTGGATCGCGGCCTCCGAGCTCGGGATCCCCACCATCTACTTCAAGAAGTCGCAGCAAAGCAGGATGGAAAAGGTACCGTGTTCCCAGCCGGGGCCCCGGGGGCCCGGTCAGCCCCCCAGAAACCGGCACAGCCCCGTTAGCATGGGTTTCAGCTGTGTGCTGACTTCGCAGCTTGATGATGACCAGACCTCCGAAGACTCCCACCCGCCAGGGCAATCACGGCTCCTTTCTCATTGACCTCAGGTTGTCTCAGCTAGTTGGTGGCGACGAGAAAGTAAATTGAGGGGATGGGGGCTTTTTCCAAGAGTCCGTTTTTTTAAATGTGTCCTTGCTCTGAAACAAACCTCTTCATAGCACTCATTCCAATACAAGGTAGAAGGAAAGGCTTGACCTATGCTGGAAACCGAAGGGCGGCCACCCTGCCTTGATATTTCTTTGTCCCCAACTGGTTGTCAGCTCTTAGAGAGAATGCCTGTCCTTGCTCATAACTATTCTCAGCGTTATCAAGAAAAACATTAAACAGTGATTCAATCCATTCCATATTCAATCCATTCAATCTTCGCATATTTGGGGGAGGGGGTAGTTAAGATTCTCTGCACACAGTGGCTTCTCTAGAAATGGGCCCCATTTGTTGTCTGTGACAGAGCTGGTTACATAAAGCAAATCCTTAAGCAGGATTTTGACCTTTTAAAATCAATAGTGCATTTGGAGACCTCATTCTGACTGTTTTTAATTAGCCGGGGGTTAAGTGGCCATGGATAAGTGGCGTTGAAGAGAGACTGTGGCCGCCCACTGAGGAGGCTGGGCCACGAAAGTGCAGCTCTGTCTCCTTAGCTTCCCATCGGCCTGGAGGTCAAAGCAACATCTCTGTTCACTTCAAAAGTGTCACTTCCCAGCGTCACTTCAGCATTAAACACCATTCAGAAAAGCATACCCTTAGTCCCTATTTGTGTGAATCCTGAAATTTTTTGGATAAATTAATTTAGCCAACATGTCTCCCTTATGGTATTCCCAACTTATTGAGCCTCCTGCCTTGTGAAAATACAGGCACAGACTAAAGGGCAGAGGAGATCATGAATACACACCGAAGCAGCTCATGTTCCCCACCACTGACCCTGGAGTTGGCGGGTACATAAAGTGAGCTTAAAACTAATTCCAGCCCTATTTCAACTGAAGTGGCAAATTCCAAACATTCTGGGTGCCCGATGTACTGGGACTGCTCTCTGATCAATGATTCCTTCATTTTCAAGCTTCCATTGTGCTCTGTCCATTTCTTAAAATGCTAAGTCTACTTAAAAGTCATACATTCAGAATATTTATTAAACATTCATTGGGTGCGTACAAGATACCGGGCACTGTTCTAGGTTCTAGGGATACAGACAACAAAAGAGATAACATTTCCCACCCTCTCGGGGTTTACATTCTAGCTCCAGGAGAAACAAAGGCAGGGAGAACAGAAAGGAAGAGAGGCTCAGGTTGTAAAGAGCAACCTTGAAATATGAAGGAAACTTATTCTGGGCAAGGGAAATGAGAAACACACTGAAGTTGTAAATTTTACACCAAGACCGTGAGCCGAGTGTCCTGAATCACCTGGGACATTTATTTACAATTCACACCTCTAGGCCATTTCCAGGAGTGAGACCTAAAAATAAGCATTTTAAACAGCTTCCCTCAAGGGCGGTAATTCTGGTGAGCAGAGAAGTTTGAGACAATCTTCCATAGGAAATATCCTGAAGGAGAGGCAGAGTTCGAGGTGCTTTTAGGCCTGCTAAATTCCAGGGCAAAGACTGCTGAGAATCCTAACACCTGATCTAAAACAGTTTGTAAATCTAACTCACAATGACCTTGATATCAGTTCAACTGAACCCACTTTATTCAGAAGAAAGACGCATGAAAGCAAATGGTTAAAAAGAAATGACACCAATTGGCTAATTGTTTTTGCTTTTTGGATCCAAAGCATCAGTGATCTCTTTTCTCCTGTTTAAATTCAACGAGCCCCTGTGAGCTGGCGTGAGCCAACGGCCAGCCTCCCAGGAAGCCAAGCGCCTTTCTCATTCGTATGCCTGCTTCCAGAATTGTTTCCTTTACTTGGAAGCAGTGCATAGAACAGAGGAAAGAAAGGAAGCCGATGTTTGCGTACCCTCCCAAAAAGGAGGGGTCAAAAAAGGAGCCCCGACTCTTAATTTCTTATTCCATTCCACACGCAAAGTGGCGGAAGCAGAGTGCCAGAGAAAACGCTGATGACATCGACTGTTAACCTAACTTTCTCAAAAACGCGACCCTTAAAGTCCCAGGGGAAGATGTGCACAGCAAAGGAAGGGAAAACAAGGAGCATTCGGTGCTGTCTCAGTCAGCTTGAGCTGCTATCACGAAATACCACAGACTGAGTGGCTTGGACAGCAGTCTTTGATTTCTCAGCTGTGGAGGCTGGGAAGTCCAAGATCGAGGTGCCAGCAGACTTAGTTGCTGGCGAGGACCCTCTTCCTAGCGGTGCCCTCACACAGCAGAGAGAGAAGGCTCTGGTGTCTTCCTTGTCTTAGAACAGCGTGAGTCCTGCCATGGGAGTCCCATCCTCAAGACCTTATCAAAACCAATTTATATCTCAAAGGCCTCACCTCCAAATACTGTCACACTGGGGGGTTAAGGCTTCAATATATGTATTTGGGGGTGGGATACATTCAGTCCATAATAGACACTGTCTCTTCACTTATAAATGTAAGAAATTCTTGAACTGAACCCTTTAGTGGTGGTTCTGAAACTCAGCATATGCTAGACTCACCTGGGGAGCTTTTAGAGACCCTGATGCTTTGGCCACTTAAATCAGAATCTCCTCCTGGGATAAAACCCAGGAATCAAAGATTTTCCAAAGGTCCCTGATGGTTCCAGTGTGCAGTCAAGGCTGAAAACTACAGCTAAACAGGCCATAATTGCAGGAGCGCTGTAAAGACCAGCTCCTTGGTGCGTAATGAAACGGAGTTGTGCCTTGGAGCAAAAGATGGTAGCTGCTTTCAGAAATCTATATTGAATGTTCCAAAAACAACCCACATAGTGTGCAACAGATTCCACCATATGATCTGGTAAACAATCTAATTTAGTAAATGCACCTGAGAATGTAAAAGCCACCTGCCACATGATGCTTTTCTTCAAATGCATCTACCAATGATATACCATCTCAGGATGCAAATTCACCTAGTCTCCTAAGACAAAAACATTTGCTCAGGGAAATGCCAACTGTGGCATATATGAAGGGAATCTAATTATTATTGATTCTGAAATGGCAGGAAAAGAACAATTTTGACTTTTTTTTCAATTAATTAGAAAGAAAAACCCAAATCCCTGACATATGAAAGCTGATTATGAAATTACCAAGGCAATAACATTGACAGGCACAGTAAAATATCTAGGACCAGCTGCTATTTTTAAAAGGCTATGGTAATGAGCTGGAAATGTCCTTTCCTGGTTTCTTCACCAAAAAAAAAGCTTCATTTTTATCTGGAAGTTTTTGTAAAGGAAGGAAGAAAAGACAGCATAAGGCCTTCCTGCTCCTCAGGCCCGCAGATGTTTCAAGGCCTGGATGTCTGTGATTATGTCATCACTGCCTCAGAGCAGGGTATATTTAGTGGGACCACAGCGTTTTTAAAAACTGTATTATTGGGATATCGGCCTGGATTTAGAAATCATGAGTAGATTTTAGCTGTGACTATTCCACAAATCACTGGCATGCCAAGTGGCCTTGCTGGTGGAGCATTTTGACAACTTTGGGTCAGTCAACAGCATCCTGTGGTCATCACCACATTGAGGGACCCTCCTCCACCAGGTCCCAAATAGATGGAAAGAAACTGATACTGGGCTTCTAGAAAATCCTGTGGCCCAGAGCCTTCTGGGAAAAGTTTGACAATCACTGGTGTCCGCCCCAGAGCTTTGATTCCCTTTTAGAGCCATGACTCAGAGATGCAAGTTGGAGACAAAATGGTGATCCGGTGAACCAGGATTTACAGAAAGAAGAAAGAAAGAAGCTAAGGCTAACTTTATATTCCTGTGCACTTTATGTTGACTGCATCTTTTAAGACATGTTAAGGGAGAGGAGACACCCTCAAGGGATATGTCTGGCCTAAGGCCATGGGGTGACCCTTCAGAGAAATCTTGAGGGAAAGTCAACAGCCTCAGAAACTGGATGTTCACACCTTCTGCACCGAGAACACCTACTTTCTAGACTTTCAGTAAGAGCTGGAAAAGTCTGATTAATCGAATTATGCAAAGACACCTTAGCCTTTCTCCCCTTTCTCTGACGCCTCATGTTTTTGCCATTTTTTCCCATAGAAAACATGCCTCAGATCATTTATGTACACCAGGGTATAACTAATAGCTCACAAAATAATTTTTATGCATCTCCATAACTTACGAATAGCTGCTGGGGTTGCTCCCCTAACTGAGGGGGGTTGCATTTTAAGCAAAGCCTTAACCTAAAGGATTAGGTTTCCTAACATTTCAGGAATAGGATGACAGGAGGCTAGGCAGAACTGTGAGGGGTCCCAGGCAACTGAGAGTCTCCGAAGTTCTGTCACCCAGGCTGACGGAGCTGATGGCACTAACCCCCCATCGCTGTTGTAGGGAGCAGTGAAGAAAGGTCCTGAGGATCTACCCCCACAGCGCTCACCCTTGGCCCCTGGCCCATAGGACCCATGCCCCAAGACCAGCTTTTATTTTGCTCCTTGCCCACTACCATCGCCCCAGTCGAAGCTCTGCTCAGCCTTTGCCTAGACCCATTCCCTCCAGCCATTTTTGACGAGCATCCTATCAACAGAAAATTACTGAGTAAGCAGCCCCAACCTATGCATGTTTATTTTTAATTATATCTGTATAAATACATGACATAAACCTCAAGAATAAATACTTAAACAAAGCTCATCTGTGTTGGTTCTGGATGTCACTCCACATTCCAAACAGTCCTCGTGATCACTGCGCGTGTATTTGACTTACATGTGAACGTTCATGCCTCCTGTCAATCAGCAAATATTTACCGAGTCCCTAGGAAGTACGAGCGCAAGATATTAAAAGACTGTTAGGACGCTCTTCTTCCCTGGGAGATTACTGTCTATAACATGGTTGCCATTGGCCTCCCATCTGTCCCCCTTTTTATATCATCCTAAAACTCTCTGAGATAATGTTTATGTTTCCATGCATTAAATGGTAAGTATTTCATTTTCCAGCCTAGGAAATTGCTTTATTCTGATTAAGTCAACACAAGGCAGGCAAGTACAATAAAGCGCTGATTTCTATAACTGTGCACATAGTTGGTGCCATCACAGCTGTGAGAAGAAACATAATTTAATAGTAGCTCTTTAGAAGATGACTTCCCAGTAATTGAAATGAATTAACAAATTCAAGCTGGAGAGAAAGAAAAAGACAGACAGAAATTAGCATTTCAGTTTCTGGCTGATCTTAAAAATCTGGGCAAACACAAAAAGAGCAGAGCAAAAAAATCCTAGAAGGAAACATTGAAGAAATAGTAACTAAACCACAACCCTCAGCTCCGTTTTTTATTGAATTTATTGGGGTGACATTGGCTAATATCACATTGACGTTGACATTATATAGGCTTCAGGTGTACAAGTCTGTAATACATCATCTGTATTTTGTATTTTGTGTTCAACACCCCAAGTCAAGTATTTTTCCCCCCATTTATCCCCCCTTTACCTCTCCTGCCTCCCCCCACCCTTCTTTCCCTCCGGTTATCACCATACTGTTGTGTGTGTCCATGAGTTTTTTGTGTTTGTTTTGCTTAATCCCTCCACCCTTTTCACCCAGCTCTCCAACTCCCCTCCCCTCTGACAGCTGTCCGTCTGTTCTCTGTATCTATGAGTCGGTTTCTCTTTTGTTTGTTACTTTATTTTGTTCATTAAATTCCACATGAGCTCATATGCTATTTGTCTTTCTCTGACTGGCTTATTTCACTTAGCATAATGCTCTCCAGGTCCATCCATGCTGTCCCAAAGGGTAAGATTTTCTTCTGTTTTATGACCCAGTGGTATTCCATGGTGTGAATGTGCCACAGCTGTTGTATCCACTCATCTACTGATGGGCACTTGGGCTGCTTCCAACCCTTGGCTATTGTAAATAACGCTGCAGTGAACATAGGGGTGCATACGTTCTCTCATCTTCTTCATAGGCCTTTCTTCTCCATAAAACCCCAGCCATTGCTTTCTCCCAGTGCTCCAAATAAATATCAATGCCATATCCTCCCTCCACCAAAATGCAGCCAGGTGCTGGAGTAGAAATAGCACTGGACTGCATGCTAGAAAAACATGCACTGTACTACCAACTTTCCATCTCTCAAGCCCTCAATTTTTTCATCTGTTAATGCCTATTTCATAGGGTTGTTGACAGAATTGAATGAGATTGCATGCATAAAAGTACTTCCTACAGGTTTGGGCTATTAATAATTGTTCCTTTTTTTTTTTTTTTAAGTATCTTACTAAGGAGTTTGGGAGGTCTCCATCCCAAAGTATCATAAAGGGAATGATCTATAACGATTTCCCCACTTTCCAACATTTCAGCTCACAATTTACCTGCAGTCAAAAACTTTCTGAATCATGGTCAATTGAAGCCAGTAGCAGTAATCAGGTGATAAATCTAGGGTGTTTCCACAGTCTTTCCTTTCCCTGCTGCAATGGAAAGCCAATCTCTCTTACTTAGTGATGATGATGGCAGAGAGGACTTTCCAAGATGGAATGAGGAACCAGTAGGGAACCAGTGCAAAAGTTTAGCGCTTGACATATTGGGCCTAACTGTATACATCCAGTGAGAGATTATTTATGACACATATAGACGGGATTGGGAACCTTACTGTACAGTCCTGTCAGAGAACATCTATTCCAGAGAAAAGCAGACCAGAGGAAACCCTTTAAATATTCAAAAGACAGACTCTTGAAAAATTCCATTTAGTCTCTCTCAATGAATGGCAACTGCTGCGAGGAAAAAAATTCCAGTTCAGTTGAAAAGAACTCTCAAATGAGCTGAACTGTCTAGAAAGAAAGTAGGCTCTCCTGGAAAATAGTTACGATGTCACCAGAAATATTCAGAACTAGCCTGGAGAACAGCTGACTTTGGGAGAGTGGTTGCATGAGATGACCTTGAGGATCCTCTGTGCCACGTGAGTTCTAACTTAGTGCTTCACTTTAGTTCCTAGATGTCGTGCGGCTGGTTCACCGGAAGTCCTGGAAAGTGGGGGATATCTTCCACGCCGTCGTTCAACACTGCAAAATACACGAGGAGCAGAAAGACGGGGCCCCGGGTCTCTTTGACTGGCTGTTGGGACTGGGATAAGGCAGCTATGCTCTGTGTACAGTATTTCTTTCCTTTTTTCCAGCATAGATTATAGTGATTTGTTCTACATGCTCTGAACTTTCTCAAACTTTGCATCCCATTAGCAGAGCTATAAAAAATGTGCTGTTCAAGGCTACTGCTCATGGAGTAAATCTGAGGAAAAGCAAAATATAGATTCTGTACAAATCAATACAACCTGTGGGTGAGTTCAAAAGAGTTTGAATTAGAGTGGCTGGGAAAACCACTATGGGCCTCATAGTAAAAGCTTATAACTAGGCCCAACCTCTAAAAAAAGCTGCTGTTGCATATTTTTAATAATGTAAAATGTGTAATGTTTCCAATTATGTTAATCAACTGGAAACGAAGTCACTGGTCAAAGTAATTTTGTAAACTATGCTGTAAACTTTGTGTTACTTTTTTGAGCAGATTACAGGGCCATCAGCCCAGGTAAACACTTAAAATGTGGACAGGAAGTTTCCAGAACTTTGATATAAAAAATTTCCATTTTCAGACCAGTATCAGTGGATATTAACAGAAATGTAAGAGTATCATCAGTGTCTTCTACCGAGGTGACTTCATTTATTTACTGCAACCCACTAATAAATATCCCACAAGTCCCCAACATCTAGATGCCTAACTAACCAGAAAACTATTGGCTTTCAGCTGAGAGAGAGGAAGGTCAAAGATTGTCTTATTTCCATCTCTGTACTAGTTGGCTAACATAGTTACAGAATTCTTACCCTATGGGCAAGCTTTCTACAAAAAATAAAAATAAATTAAAAAGGAAAGTCTTTTAAGATTAAATATGCTTGTTTATTAAATTATATAAAATATAAACTTTCATTTTATTATTATTGTAAATTATGAAGAGATTATCTTAAATAATATATTGAGTTATCTTAGAGAGTCCTAAAATCTAAAGAGATTGTTGTCTTAATCACATATTGATGTGGAGCTCAGTGGTTATATAATAAATGTGCTGGTACCCAAATGGCAGACCTGCTACTAGGATGACATTCATACTGACAGATGCAGGATTCATTCAACATAACCAGTGAGGATCATAGACTCTTCTCAATCCAAAGATATTGGTGTTTAACTCGGGAAAAAGAAAACCTTATTACATTTAAGTATTTTAATAACAGAAATTTAATCTTTCGGAAAATGAAAGTATCTAACTTCTCCCTAATAAGTCTTTTTTCCTTTCAACTAAATGAGCTACACTGGCTTTTATTTTCTTGATCAAAGAAGGTGTTTATAAGAGATTTCCTAAAATACTAAGCTTTTACACTATTTCTAGAGATGGTGAAGTAATTTTAAATGGGAACAAGGCCCCACCCCAGCAATGCTGCCTTATGTGTCATCCACGTCTTGGAATGTCAAGAAAGCTTCCTTGTAAACCACACTTCCCCTCCCACCCCAGGAATCCACCCCAGGACTCATTAGGCATTTATTTTATAAATAGTCCAAATTTAAGTTACTCGTGTAATTTGACACATTGATCAAATGTCAAATTTTAAAATTTATTCATCATCTCAAGCTGAAAATTATTTGTGCTATGAAATGAAAAAAGATCTATTTATTTTTTAAACAACCCCAGAATATCGTGTGTACTTCTGTTGTGCTCTGATGAATGTTTACTTACCCTACAAGCACAAATACTGAATTGGAACCATGTGATGAAGTTCTGTGTGTTGTACTTAGCGTTGCAAACTAGTCAATAAATTTTTGTTGCCAAATTATTGATTCTTTTTTCCCAAGAGCTTAAGCGCCCAAACAGAAAATAGTCCCAGTGTGATTGGCTGAAGATAGACATACCCCTGGACGAGCTTGGCTGGCCGCTGTCAGGCTCTGGGTAAACAAGTGTCTGACGAAATCTGTTCGGATCAGTAATGCTCGTGGACGCCGGCCATCAGCGCTTCTCAGACTTGGCACTGTTGACCTGGGGGCCGGGTAATTCTTTGTTGCGGAGGGTTGTCCTGCACATTGTAGGATTTAGTAGCACCCCTGGCTCCTATCCACAAGAAGCCAGTAACCAC